AATTGTCTGTGAATATGATAATCAGAGCACAAGAATCAAAAATCTTCATAGAAGCAAGATTTGGATTCAGAATCAGAATCATGAGTATCATGTATTGGTGTCAGACTAAGAACCAACATGGGTATCAGACTCAAATTCAATATTGGAATCAGATTCAGAAGTAAACATTCTATTGGTTTCTATTGGCATCAGGCTGCTTCAAGAGATCAAAAATCTGAGAAGAAAGCAAGTCTGAGAAAGCAAGAATCAAGATTGTATCAAGATCAGAAGATCCAAATATCTGACATACTGTAATCAGGGGGAGTTCTCTCGGGAAGGTTCACAAGTCAGGATATTTGATTTTCACCCAGTCTGAAACTCAGGGGGAGTTTCTCATCTGTAGATAAACAGATGTGCTAAAGATCAAGAGAAAATGCTTTAGAAGATTCTGAAGTTATATGACTCTGATACGATGCTTAGAGAAGACAAGTTCTAAAGATCTGAAGATGGAAGTTCTGTTGAACTAGTCCAGATGCTGAAGACTTATGCTATCTTATATCGTAGGGAAGTATTCCTTCTATTCTACTCTATTTGATTATGTTTTATCAAATTTATTTTTTGTAAGTCTTGGGATCAGAGTATGTCTCTAAACAAGCATAAAAATGTTTTAAAGGTTAACACATTCAGGGGGAGTAGTTGCTTAGAACTCTGAATAGGTTAATGCTTGGTGATTACCCTGTATAAAATGTTCTATCAAAATACATGTTTTTGTCATCATCAAAAAGGGGGAGATTGTAAGAGCAAGATTTGTCTCTACAGGATAATCTCTATGTTTTGATGATAACAATTGAGTATTTGTGAAAGAACCATTTTATGGTTTAATGTTTGTTATGTGCAGGTCATATTAAATTAAATATATTAGACCAAACAAACAGAAGCAACGTGTGCAGCTAGTAACTTATGGAGTTACTTAGTGTGACGTCATGAAGCGCATGTGAGGAGCTAGTTTGCTTATGTATCTGATCACGTTCAGTAAGAATCAAGGATGCTGGATATTGCAGTTGCAATGCTCCTGTGTATTCTGATCTGAAGAAGTGCATCTGATCTGAAAGCAAATGAAGCTCAGAGAAGAAGCTAGTGCTTATGCATCTGATCACCATCAGTAAAGAACCAAGGGTGCTGGATATTGCAGTTGCAATGCTCCTGTGGTTTCTGCTCTGGAGAAGTGCATCTGATATGAAAGCAAATGAAGCTCAGTGAAGAAGCAAGTTTGTTTCTACATTTGATCATGTTCAGTAAAGAATCAAGGATGCTGGATATTGCAGTTGCAATGCATCTATGGATTCTGCTCTGAGCTATGCATCTGATCTGGAAGCTAACGAGCGTCTCTGAAGAGTGAGTCCTCTGAAGAACAAAGTGCTGAAGACTCTGATGACTTGAAGTTCTGAAGGCTGAAGGCTCTGAAGACCAAGTGCGTCAAGACTCTGAAGACTGGTTCTGAAGGTCAAGACTCTGAAGACTCTGAAGACAGGTTCTGAAGGTCAAGACTCTGAAGACAGGTTCAGAAGGACAAGACTCTGAAGAAGTGTTCTGAAGGTCAAGACTCTGAAGAAGTGTTCTGAAGGTCAAGGCTCTAAAGATTCTGAAGACATGGTTTATGAAGAATTAGTCATGAAGATTCTCAAGATTGTTTCAGAGGAAACTTAGTTCTTGGAATGCTGAAGACTGGATTCTAAAGTGGAAGATTGTGTCAGAAGAAGATTCATCCAGATGCAAGACATGTTACATCAGATAAGTTGTTGCTGTTCAAATCTGATAAATCATGTGCTTATGGAAAAGGACAAGAAAGTGATGTCATCCAACACGTGCTCATTCTATCCGTTGGAATATGACCGTTGGAAATAGAAAGGACTTTTCTATCCTCACAACGTCATTCTTGGAAGCACTATAAAAGGAAGAATCATTTGTTGATTCAAATGTTGCTGAAGCATTGGGTTGGCTTTTGCGTTGTTGCGTTGCTGCTACTACTGCAAAGAAAAGACAAAGCTTAATGGAAAAGAAGCCTTAGTGCTCACAAATAGAAAAGCTTTTAAGCATATAGAAACTATTCTTGTAATCTCTTAGAAACTTATCATTAGAGTTAGTTTCTGTATTGGGAAGCAAGGAGTTGTTGCTCATTACTTGCTATGTGCTAAACTTGGAGTTATTAGCTTGCTAGGAAGCACCATTGTAATCTCCGGCAACACAAAATTCTATTTTAGAATTAATGGTTCCTCAAGTGATCTTGTGAAGATCAATATACTTGAGATGACAAGTGATAGTAGTCATTTGTGAAAATCCTAATAGGAGATCTTTAGTGATCGGATTCTATTAAGGTGTCAATGAACGTTATATCCTTGGGGATCCCTGTACGTGTCATTGTCAAGTTGTTAGTCACTTACAGTTAGCTTGTGCATCTGTAATTAGTTCGGTTATAGTGGATTAAGTCCTTAATTGATTAAGGCGAAATCACCTTGGAAGGGTGGACTGGATTAGCTTGAGAGTTGCTCAAGTGAACCAGGATATATGATGTGTTCTTTACTTATGCTTTATTATTTATGCTTCCGCAATGTATTTAATATAAGCGCATAAAAGCATCAAGTGAAAAAAAAGATAAGAAAAGAAAAAAGTTTTATTAAGGCATAAACCCAATTCAATCCCCCCCTTTCTTGTGTTTATTTCTCACCTTCAGTTTCTTGTCACATGCCCGATTCTTCCAAAGAGCTTCATAGTGGACAGATCCATATAGAGTTAGAGAAACATAAGCTCGCATAGCAAATCACACAAAAGTGTTTATCTCTTCCTCGGAACCGCCTAGAAAAATTGGCAAAGAATACTTAATCATCCTCAAAGATTGAATCCTGGCATTCACGAAAAGGGCCGAGTTCTGTCTTGGAACCCATTCGCAAGCTCGATAGAGAAGGAAAGAGAGTGACATTCCGAGGGCATTCCCGAGAACGATAAGATTCTACTGCAACATCGACTCACTATATTCCTTGCTTTAGAACCTAGACCCTCACTTCATCCTCCATTACATTTGCATAAAAACACGATTATTGTCTAGATATGCACCCATAAATGGGGCAAACCAATAATAAATGAATAAAGGAAATTGCAAACTTGCCAAAGGCATTTTGTCGCTCCTCATGTGAGAGAGCCCCCATCTGCTGAAACATTTATTCAGGAGCTTCAAACATTTGTTATCAGCCTCAGCCAATTGAACTACACCTCTAAGGTAACCCATGCGATTGACAAAGTCTACCAGCTTATTCGTTTGATACAAATCCTCGACAAAAAATATTCATCATTGTAAACATATGTGACATTCTTCATGAGGAAATGCTTCACTGACCAGTAGTAGGGAAACATAAGTTTTCATTTGCCATTTACCCTTGACTCAACCCCGCAATTTGTCGCATGAGCTAGGGGATAAAGAGGATTAACCAAGAAAAAGCGATCTACAAAGGGTAGTAACTAAAGAAAACCATCAAATACCTGAATCGTCGGCACTAAGGAGAATAGTTCTCGTTCTCTTGGTTGGGCTAAGGTACCACGGTGACAACGAAAAAGGTGAAAACAAGGTGACAGAAGGGATCCCTTTCAGATATGCACACTAGTGTTGGTAAGCCTTTACATACGCCAAACTCGACGGGTGAAGTTGCGAATGACCCACCATCAAGTAATTAAAAAGACATATCTCAATAGCGGTAAAGACTAGGCGAACACCCATGGTTGAGAAGAGACATTCGAAAATAGGAATGGTCTAGCCATCGTACTCACTAATATTTTATCGTCCTTAAAAGGAGTGGTGGAACCCTAATGTGACGATTCCTCCACTTTAAGGAAAGCATTATCCAGGTTACCCTCTTTTGTAAAAACAAACACAATGGAAGACTATATAGAACCTTCCCATGGTAATACTGGGTTCGTCATGTTCCCTTTCATGTTATTTAGTGACTTTTTAGCCATATGACGTTGACGTTCACAAGTGCAATAAGACAAAGTTTCAAAAGAAAAATAAGTAACCACTCAAGAATGAAGGGAAAAGAAAGGTCTAAAAGGGAGATGACTCTAGATCTCCATATACTTATGTACTGGCAATATGCAAAGAAAGTGTCCTACCAACAATCATGTTTCTCACACGTAACACTCAAGTGTTTCAATTCTCAAGAATGATCATAATGACACTTCCAAATAGACGTTCTACGTTCTAAACAACGAAATAATGAAGAGGGGTGGCTGGTAGTTGAAGACGAAAATCTCCAAACCCTCTCCTTCATACCCAAGCACGAGGCTTGAGGGCAACTATTTTGTGCCAGTCATGTCTCCTTCGGACTTGCCACCTTGAGATAGGCTGCTCTGGGATGATACTTATCGACCGACCACAAAGTCATGCTTCCGAAATCTCTGCCTTATCGCAAGACTACCTTGCACCTCGCTGTAGGAGATTTTCATCTCAAACGCATCTAATGGTCCTTTGCATTTTACGGCTGAAAGATAGCTAAGGCGTTACCATTCCCCCTTATATATAAAAAATGACTTCATTTCAGATAAAAAGTTTCAAACACAGTTTAAATACTATCTACTCTTTTCCCTACTAACTTAAACATTGAAATGTTAATCTAACAAATACATCCCCCACTCACCACATTGAAAGACATACTCTTTTGCAGCTCCGACAGTTATTTCTATTTACATTAAATATATCAATAGCGCTAAATCTATACGTGGACACCTATGGTTTCCTGAGAATTTATAATTAATTAATTGATGTAATTTTAATTTATATATATCTATTTATTATTAATTAAATATAAATTATTTATTACTATTTATTAACAAAAATATTAAAACCTCATATTATACCAAATTCAAAGCCCTGCAACGGGCTTTAGTCTTATATAATCTCTGCTCCGTTTCAATTTCAAGACAGCGGAGAAACTAGTCGAAGCTGTTTTCAATTCACTGTAATCCACGGCAGAATGTCGACGGCAGAAGCAATGGATTGCGATTCATCAAACTACAAACGCTACACACTTTCCCAAACCCTAACCAGTCACAAACGAGCAATCTCCGCCGTTAAATTCTCCTCCAACGGCCGTCTTCTCGCCTCCTCTTCCGCCGACAAAACCATCCGCACCTACGGTTTCACAAACTCCGATTCCAATTCCAACAGCCTAACCCTATCTCCTATGCAACAATACGAAGGCCACGAACAAGGCGTTTCCGACATAGCTTTCTCCTCCGATACTCGTTACCTCGTCTCCGCCTCCGACGACAAAACCATCCGTCTATGGGACGTTCGGACGGGAGCGCTAATCAAGACTCTTCACGGCCATACTAACTATGTTTTCTGTGTTAATTTCAATCCTCAGTCGAACATCATTGTTTCGGGGTCGTTTGATGAGACGGTTAGGGTTTGGGATGTTAAGACAGGGAAGTGTCTTAAGGTTATTCCTGCGCATTCTGATCCTGTTACAGCTGTTGATTTTAATCGCGACGGGTCTCTTATTGTTTCTAGTAGCTATGACGGTCTTTGCAGGATTTGGGATGCTTCTACTGGTCACTGTATGAAAACTCTTATTGATGATGAGAATCCTCCTGTTTCGTATGTCAAATTTTCGCCCAATGCCAAGTTTATTCTTGTTGGTACCTTGGATAACAATCTGGTAACATCTCCTCTCATTAACCCAATTTCGATTTTGTTATTTAGTCTTTAAATTAGTGTTTGTTTCATGGACCAAACCCAAACTCCACCATTTGAATAGAGAATTGCATTCAAATATAGTTCATATGATTCCATTTGAATATGAAAATGGATCAAACCCAAACTCCACCATTTGAATAGAGAATTGCATTCAAATATAGTTCATATGATTCCATTTGAGTAGGCAAATGGATCAAACCCAAACTCCATTTGAATAGAGTATTAGTTCATATGATTCCATTTGAATATAGAATTCCATTCAAATGTTGTTGTTGATATAACCCCAATTGGAATTCATTTTGGTGTAAGATATAAAAAGTTATGATGTCTGAGGCAACAATCTTCACTGCAGGCTCTTTTAATTCTACCTAAAAAAAAAATTATTGTTAAAAATTAGTACATCTTAATCAAAATAAAATTCATGTGTGTGGGATGCCATGGCTACATAAGGCTGCGTTTGGATTGATGAAATGCAATGGAATGGAATAGGGTTATGTTAGATCGTTTGGATTTGGTAAAAAGAGGATGAATTGAAGCAGAACATAACGAAATGCAATTCATCCAATTCCATTACTTACCCTCATTTTTGTTCCTTCCAGTGGTATAACATTTTTGTTACATTCCATCCTAAAATATCCAAACAATGGAATGAGATATCCATTCCGCTCCGCTCTGTTCATTTTGAAATATTCAAACATAGCCCAATGGATCCAAACGACTCACTTTAAAGGATATAGCGAGTAACATCATTCGTTGATCAACAAATCAAGTATAGATATTATAGGTTACTTCATAACAAATTACAAGTGTGTTAAAATATCAACTCTTAATTTTCTCACTTTTCACTTAGTCGCTTTAGAAGATATGAAAAACCTGAATGAATTATATAACTCTATGCTGTTGGGTTTCTTAAGTGGAGTCTATTCTTTATGCAATATTATTATGTTTGATATCAGTGTAAAATGGCTTTATATGACTAATCATTTTTGCTTCTCATAATGTATAGTTTATTTGATTGGTCTATTGGCTATGAGGATTTCTTTTCTTATTCTTCCCCTTTCAATGTGTTTTCGGAATTCGGAAGTTCATTGAGGTCTCTCTGGAAGGGATTGGTAAACAAGCACTTATGATTGACTTACATGGGAATTTTTCTGTCCCTGCAGAGGCTTTGGAACTATTCTACTGGGAAGTTTATGAAATCTTACACTGGTCATGTTAATTCAAAATACAGTATTTCGTCCTCATTTTCTACAACTAATGGGAAGTATGTTGTTAGTGGTTCAGAAGATAGTTGTATATACTTGTGGGATCTGCAGTCGAGGAAAATTGTACAGAAGATGGAAGGTCATACAGATACAGTCATATCTGTCTCGTGTCACCCTACGGAGAACATGATTGCTTCGGGAGCTCTCGGTAATGATAAGACTGTCAAGATATGGACTCAACAAAACGACTGATTCAATTTGTATCTGAGCTAATGTTCCAATGAGTTGGTGTGAGGTGAGATAGCATTAACTTACTCCTTCATTTTGCAGTTTGAGAAACTCTAATATTTATTTTTGAGATCATTTTGCAGTTGATCGATGAAACATGAATTTACGAAGAGAATGACGTTTTTATGAAAAGAAACGTGAATTTGGAAGTAAAAAGTGCTTGTGCCCTGAAATTAAAGGTTCCCTAGCTCAATAATGTTGGGTTTACCCTAGTGTATTAGACATGTTTCTGCGTATTGCTCTGAAGAATATTCACCACCATGTCTTGACTTGCATAAGTTTTAGGATTAATTTACTCTATCATGTTTGTTTTTCTCCAGTCTCAAACTCATAATAATTCTTTTAGTTAAAAATGCAAGATATGATAAATTAATTATCATATCCTAATCCTCAAGATATGTTTTCTAACAGAGGCAGACACCTTAGATAGATTTGCTCGTCTCCAAAGAGAAGAAACTTTTGTGGCGTCTATTCCTTTTGAGTTTGAAGCTTTGTTGTAAATATGATAAGGACATCTACATAAATCTGTGAAATGAATAGTGTGGTGGGTCCAAATTCCGTTGTGAAAAGAGAATAATCAATTATGAACTTTTTTAATCTATAAGTAGTTATCTCTTAGGAGAACTTTTATTAAAACAGTATACAAAATAATTGGCAAAGTCTATAATGAGATTTATTTGTTTTTTATCTAGTTTGCAGAACACGTCTTCTGCTCTCTTTCTCTCAAATGTCCTATGCCAACACGTCAAAAAATAGTTTTTCGGCGAAACTAATGTTTTTTCATACTTATTAGTGACACACAGAATCATGAATCACAAATCAAATTGATCCATTGCCCATTATTTTATTAACAGATAAGAGTACTCTAAAGATGAGATTTTAAAAAGCTTCATTGTATACGTTTTTTTTTTTTGTATATATAACTTTTTAAATAAAATTTAATAAATATTTTATTTGTTGGGAAGCGTAAAATAGTGTTATTCTTAGGCCATTTGTGCTTTTCTACAAATATAAAAGGTATTTATTCAGGAGCAAGTGTTACATGGGATTGGATTGAGTGATTTTATTGTGCATGTAACTTTGTGACTTTAGGCAAAACGGAAGACAAATAAATTATTAAAATAGATTATATCTTGAGAGAGAAAATTTGATTTAGAGAGAGATAGAGAGAAAGTCACAAAGATACCATATTTCTAAAATCACTCAATTCCTTTCAGTGTTACATAGTCACAGGGAGATAGAAGGTAAGTTACAAAAATACCATATTTCCAAAGTCACAGGGACAGAGGGAAAGTCACAAAGATATCATATTCCCAAAGTCACTCAATCTCTCCCAGGGTTACATAGTCACACAACTATGGGTATAAGTCTTAGACAAATCTACCATATAAGAAAGAAAATATTTTTGGAAAAGATTTTGTTTTTTTCCCCTTATTCTTCTTTTGCAAACACATCATTTTAAGGATATTTTGTGTTTATATATTACTTTTTCTAACCGATAATGTCACTTTGTTCTATTCCAACTACATGTTTATTCAATTTGATCTTTGTTTGTTATGTGTTAATCGTTGGATGATGTCATTTGGTTCCATCTCTCTCTCTCTCTCTCTCTCTCTCTCTCTCTCTCTCTCTCTCTCTCTCTCTCTCTCTCTCTCTCTCTCTCTCTCTCTCTCTCTCTCTCTCTCTCTCTTAAGTTTTCAATCTCTTTCCTTTTTCCTCTTTTCCTGCGCGTAACAGACGAATAACATTGGTTTCTCTTCTTCCTTCTCCCTCTTCTTCTTCCTTCTCCTTCTTCTTTACAAACCGTAACAATACCGTCAAAGTTTTTTCAACAACAAATCAAGATCATTACTTAGTAACATGTCGCTAACAAATTCCTAACTGAAGCCGAAAAAGCTATCAAACTAGATCCTACAGATGCGATTTCATTTCTTCTTAAAGCTTCAGATGCATTTGTCTTGTCATTTCGTATATGATTTTGTTGTTGTTGTTGTTCTTTCAGGAAGTATGAAACCGGGATTCGAGCGGGTAAGCCAATATTTTGGTTACTTCAATCTATGTTACTCGTCTGGCTTCAATCGAAAACTCAACTTTATTGTCGCTTATTGGGGATGACATTGATCGCGAGTTGCATGTTAGTTCATGTTTTAATGTAATACTTTTTAACATGTCTTCTTTCTACTTCTATATGTAAGGAAATCATATACTATAACAAAACAAAGAGAAAATGGACAGATGAAGAACATAAGAAGTTTCTTGAAGCCTTAAAGTTGTTTGGTTGCGCCTGGCGACGCATTAAAGGTATCATTAGGTTTAATTTTTTATATATTGGAAAAGTATGTTGTAAGGATTTATAAGATTTATAACTAAAAAGGAAATGCAGTAATGAAGAAATATGATTGTGTTAGGTTTAAGTTTGAGATTCTTTATTTTCACCACAGAACATATCAGTACAAAGATTACAGTTCAGATTCGAAGTCATGCTCATAAGTTTTTCTGTAAGACCTATTATGTCAGGCACATTTTTTGTACCATTAACCATAAACAAAACAATGTTAATGTTTGTAACTTTTTGGTTCGATTTTCATATTGATTAACTCAATTGTCTTGATTCTGTGTTACAAGCACTAAGGAGGCGATCAAAATTCCTCATCCAAGACCGAAACGTAAGCCTATACATCCTTACCCTTGCAAGCATGCTGAAATGGCCAGTAGTAAAGACATTTCTGTCCCGAAAAAGGAAGTGAACTCTAACTCTATAAATGCATCAGATTTTGATCAATAAAATCAATCTCCAAAATCATCAGTAGTTTCGACCATCATGAATTCAAAAGGTTCAATATATAAAGCTCCCTCAACCTTCAAAGGATCTGTATCCACCTGCATCTTTGGCTTTTCACCAAATTGAAGGTTGCCTTCCTTCAAAGCCTTTTGCCCAAATCCCTGAAAAGAAAACATTGAGATGTTTTTTGACTAAGAAACTTATGAAATTTACAGAATCCTCTTTTTTTCTTTTGCTCTAATGGGGGATTTTTCAGGCCTTTAGGCATAATAATTTGACCATCCTTGACTAACAAATCAAATATTTCATTGCATTTAGATATATCGAAAGTATAAGTTTTTGCAACGAATTTATCTGTTTTTTCAGTCTCGACAGGGTTTTTCCCCTTTGATGGTTTTAATAATTTACAAGCATAGGGAGGTTTTGAGCTCAGCCACGTTGACCTCGCTTTCGTCGACGAGCTCTTCATCGTCAAAAGAGTATACGTCTGTTGCTACATAAGACACATTCTCTTTCTTATGGTATTTATTAGTTCTGGCCTTTTCAGCCTTCAGACGTTCAAGTTGTTGAACTCTATCATCCAGTTAGGTCATATCTCTAAGATATTTAGTGTATAACTTTTTTCTAATAGAATAATCTAACCGCCTGTAGCTATCTCGACTAGCTCGTGTTTAGAGAATTTAGTAAAACATCTTACTTTCAAAAGTCTAAACCTGTTGAGATATTGATCGACTGACTCAACGACCTTTCGTTTGTCGTTAGACAACTCTTTCAAACTTATCTTCGACTGTCCCATGTAAAATTGTTCGTGGAATAGTCTCTTTAACTGCACCCACGTATGGACGGACTGTGGAGGCAGCGTCGTAAACTAAGTTAACGCATTTTTTGTGAGGAAACTTGGAAAGTATTTCATTTTTAAATCCTCATTATTCGCTATGTCATCGACTTTAGTTTGATATCTGGCAACGTGTTTGACAGTGGACTCATCAGTGTCCTCAGCAAACTTGGTAAACTTCGGAGCCTTCCATCCCCTTGGCAACTCTGTTTGCAACACAAAATCTAGTAATAGGGACGAATACGTTGGCCTTTGCAAGCCAGGGTTCACACCATTTTGAAACATGATTCGCTCGACAATGGCTTCTAGATTTTGTTCCCCAACCATTGTATCTTGTCGAACCTGCTTGACCACATGGTCGAGGTCTTGGTTCCTATTAACTAGCACGACAAAAGGCCGTTGGGCCACCCTAGGCATTGGTTCGACCACATGGGGTTCTTGGTCAATTGTCTCGTCGAACCATATGAACCATTTTGTGATTACTTTCGTCCAGCTGTTGTCTCATAACTGTGAAAAACTTGAAATAAAGGTTGGGATTGCCTTAGATGAAGACCTCAGTTCTATGGTTCAACCAAATTGGTTTCCCAAAGGTCCTAATCCATGGTAAGGTGAAAACGTTAATGATGACTTTTTTTCCAAATGTCGAACCGCTACCATGTATACTTGCCATCAACTCGGTTGGCATTCCAAAGCTTCGATCCCTACCATACATAGGCAAGGTGAAACTAGGCATAAATGGCCCTGAAGTTCCAACCACCATCGGCCTTAACAGTTCAGGCCGACGCGATGACAATGTTGGTCCACCGTGGGCAGTCGAAACTGCCGCCATAGTGTTAGAATCAACATTAGTTGCTTCTGACACAACTGTATTTCCTCCTAAGGATTGCTCCTTATTTGGACTAGTATTTCGTGGATCTACCATCTTCTTACCACTGTGTAATTGCATATATTTAACACGATGTGTCCCACTGGGCGTGCCAATTTTTTCGCCCAGATTTTTGGCGAACAATCTCTATCCTTTTATTAAAGGTTACTTACATGATCGGCTACAAAATCCTAGACTAAGTGTTAAGTATATAATGATTGCATGAGTGTTTGGGTTTGGAATGGTAGATAAAGAAACTGTGTTCGTACAATTGAGATGACTCAATGAGAAAATAAGACAAAATTGCAAAGGGAAATGAACTGAAAACCAAGATTTACGAAATAAATTGCCTAAATGTAAGTTGGACGCTGTTGGATAGGAATTTCGATGTCATGTTCCCATTTGAAAAACTAAGTAAAAAATGAAATTTTCTTAAGTTTGGTTGATTTTGACAAGGGATTGGTGTGAGATTCTGTCGAAAT